GCTGAACAAGGCAAAAGGCTAACACTAAAGGTCATTTAACCTCTATGGTTACAAAAAAGGATGAAATAAGAGTAACAAGAGGAACCACGGGCACAGATGTCTCCAGTGTACATGACTCTTGGACAATTGAGGGCAGATCCAAGTGTGTCTTGTATAGGGGTGTACATTCTGGAGGACAGGGAGAAGGCATATCCAAGACTGCAAATCGAGACATCTGCTGCAAGAACTTAAGTGACAACTTGAAACTAACCATTGCCAAGGTGAGACCCTGACTTTGGAATACAGAGCAAAATAGATTTGTTAGGGTGAACCTGACCCTGCATGAATAGTATCTAGATTCTGGTCAAAGAGTTCGATAAAGTGTTGATTATGTACTTTATACTAACTACAGAGTTATTAATGAAGAGAAGTTGTATTAGATTCCAATTTGGCTCTTGGTCCTTCGTCTGTTACAAAATTCAAGTGGAAAATGGGTTAACAAATAGTATCAGAGATAATAGGAACTGCAGATGCTGGACAATCCGAGACAACAAAGTGCAGGGTTGGATGAACACAACAGGCCAAGCAGCATCATAGCGGGCTTGGCCTGCTGTGTTCATCCAGCCCTGCACCTTGTTGTAACAAATAGTATTTTGTTTTTGTATTCCTACTACAGGAGGACCTGGCTACTTCATTATTGGAGGGTTTGTGTTTGGAGCTGAATGCTGTAGAATGGAAATTGAACAACCCACATCCTGACTTTATTGTAAAAAAGATTATTGCGGCAGCAGCTAAAGATATTTTTCCTGATCTTGCTGATAATTTTCTGCAGTGGTCTTTTGTACCAATAATATGTCTCTGACAATAACAGAGGCAGATTTGGGTGTTAACTTTAATTGGTATTTTGAAGAAGAATGGAGATGAGGATGACTTTCTCCCACTCTGGTTCAGCAGGTTCTGAGATGGCTGACCAATCTGTCTTGTTTGGAGACTTTGCACTCCCTCTGATGTCTTGGTTTCACTTCTGTATTTTTCCAATTGTGTCTCCCTATGTGGTCGGCACCTTTCTGAAATAGCATTTTCCATTTTGGTCAGTCATAAGTCTTGTGCCTTCTGCCTTAATTGTGACCAACCAAAATGATATTAGCTGGTAGAAAGGCTGCTGTAGAGGCTAACGTAATCAGAGTGTAAGAAGGAGCCAAGAGTTCATTTTGCCGTTAGTGACTGGAAAACTGTGTAGAGAGAAGGTGATGGAGAACACATACATAAGTATGAATTAGGGGCAAGAGTCAGCTATTCAGCACCCCGCTCTGCTATTCAATAGATTGTGGCTGATCAGACACAAACATCTGAACTCATGGGATTCAATAAGTCGAAAGCTACTTGAAGCTGTCCCCTTAGTTGTATTGACAGACACCTTTCAGTGGTCTGTGGTAAATCATTTCCATCAAAAGCACTCACTGGAACAATCAGATTCCCTCACAATACATAAATTAAAAATTCAATTTTCGGCCTTGAGGCTGTTTTATCTACAAATTTGCAAACCTTAACCTATTAAGAATGTGTGAATGGAAGTGTAGGATCTGATAGTTGACTCCTGCCTAAAGGTCCAAAATCAATTGTAAATCACACAATAAGACATATGGCCCTGAAATACATGAGCTTGAAATTAGTTGGTTCTCTCTGTCATGTAGCTCTGTTCCAGTGTTGAGTTTGATGGTGTTAGTCTGGTACTCTGACCTGGTGCTGGTTTCCACCTGCAGTTAAAAAAGAGAGTGTTAAAAACAGAATTTTCTAATGGACTCAATATTTTAACAAATTTATTATCTCTCATAATGAAACAGTGATTTCATTTAAATACTGTTTATTTGCCCTGAATGTAAAAGTTTAAAGCATATGTTTTGGCAATTTGATGACATAAGGCTTATGATTATAATGTGAAGGAATAAAATAAATCTAATCCAGCATTTTCTCCAGATCAACCATGTTCACTGATTCTATGTTTCAGCTCAATCAGTATTTCAAGCAATTGTTGAACCAAACACCTAAACAACCTACTTTGGAGTGAAACAATGCAAGTAAAAAAGTTTATGCTGAATAATACATAGGGAAAAGACATAGTCAAGAGTTGTGGAACTTGAAGAATCAACACAGAAGTTGTTTAATCCCTTCTTATTCAGCCACAAATATTCATTTTAGTGCTTTCTAACATGCAGTTATATCTCTTAAATTGAAACAGAATTAACCTGACCAGAAGTGAAGGAACCAATTTTAAAGTTTTCTCGCGCAAAAGAAAGAAGAATTTTATTAAATGCTGATGTGGTGAAACTTGATGTGAATTGCTTTTGTCCTGAATAGCAAGCAGTCATGTAATTTGTTTACCTTGGTGGTTTAAATTGGGTGTTTACAATCTTGCGATTGGTTGGGGAACAATGGGCTTAATTATTGATGTTCTCCTCCCTGTTAAGTCATAACATAAGTTATTAGACCAAAATGCCATCCAGCGGTTTCCATTGATGTAAAAGATTCAATTATATTTTATTGAGGAATAGCTGGGGATATATATATCCCTTTGTCATGATCAATGCTTGTTTTTAAATCATGAGAAACTAAACAGATTATCTTGTCATTAGCATCTTGCTGTTACATTTATAAAATCTTGGTGGAATACAAATGTTAGTTACCGAAATAGATGCCAACACCACTGAATCAGAATATTAGGTGTGAGCCCCATCACTCTATCAGAAATCTTAACAGTGTGATGTTGCAGTTATGCACAAGGTGGAGCTCTCGTTAACAAAATGGGGAAAGTGCCCACAGTCACTTTGTAAGATGCAGTAATTTGAATTTTTGCCAGCGATACAGTTTCAGATGTGTATGGACGTTAACATGACAGTGTAAGTAAAGGGTCAACTCAAAATCGGACCCCTGAGTGCACCAAAGGCATGTGTTTGAAAATCCAAGCTAGAAGCCACCTCCAATGCTTTGAGTTCACACAAAAGCATGTCTTTGTGAAATTTGTTTTAGGATCAGGAGAAAACCCACACTTTAAGATTCAACATAGACCCATGGAGAGTGAGGGTTCTAAACAAGCATGAGAGTAATTTTTACTACAAGCTCAAGGGATGCATAAAGGCTGGTACAACTCAGTTCTGGAGCTGAATCTTAGACGATGGGGAAGTGATGGACTTGGGATTTAGTTGCTAGACTCTTAATTTCAAGACCCAGTTAATGATCTGTGGACCCTGGTTCAAATCCTGTCCAGGGAAGATGGTGGAATTTGAATTCAATAAAAAATCTGGAGTTAGGCATTTAATGATGCCTATGAAACTGTTGTTGCATGTCACAGAAACCATTTGTCTTCCTATTGTTCTTAAGGGAAGGAAACTCTGTGGGTCTGGCCTACATGTGACTCTAGACCCACAGCACTATGGTTGACCTTTAACTGCTCTCTGACTTGCAATAAAGCTGACCCAGCCAGTGACACACAAATCTAATGAATGAAATAAAATCTAATGAGTGTTTGAGTCTGGGATGATAGTGGGAGATGTGTTTTTGTAACTTAAACAATAAAATGTTATTATTAAAACATTATTCTGCATAGTTTACAGAATCACAGAATTATTACAGAGTGGAAGAAAGCCATTCAGCGCATTGTGCCTGCACCAGCTTGATTATCTAATGCCAATTCACTGCCTTTTCCCCATATTCTGGTATGCCCTAACCATCAAAAATGACATCCAATGACGTTTTGAATGTCTCAATTGTTCCAGGCAGTACATTCCATACCCTAACTGCTTACTGGGGGGGAAAAAAAGGTTTTCTCACATCACCTTTGCTTCCTGTACACATCACTTTAAATCTATGCACTCTCGTACTCGTAACTTGTATGAGTGGAAATAGCTTCACCATTATCTACTCTATGCAGCCTGCTAATGATTTTGAAAACCTCAATCAGATCTCCCCTCAGCCTGCTTCTCTCCAGGGAAAACAGCCCCAACATCTTCAATCTATCCTCATCGCTGATATTCCTCATTCCTGGAACGATTCTTACAAATTGCTTCTGCACTGTCTCTCTCACACATTCGCATGTTGCCTATGAAGTGGTGTGCGCAACCATACACAATACTCCAGCTGACATCGAAAAAGTGCCTTGTACAAGTTCAACATCACAGCCCTTGCTTATGTACTTTTATGCTTGTTTGAATATAGCCCAGAATACTGGATTGTTTATTTACTGTTCTTTCCATCTGGTCAGCTACCTTCAATGATCTGTGCCCACGTCGCCTCAGATCCTCTGCTCCTGCACTCCCTTTCGAACTGTACCCCCTACTTTGTATTGTCTCGCAATGTTCTTCCAAACCAAAGTTCCAAACCTTACACTTTTCTGCATTGAAGCTCATCTGTCACCTATCGGTCCACTCCACAAACTTATCGATGCAATTTTGGAGCTCCATACTCTCTTCCTCACAGTTTATAATTCTTCCAAATGCAGCGTTACCTGCAAACTGGGATATTCTCCCCTCCTCACCAAGCTCCAGAACATTGATACATATCAGGAAAAACAAGGATCCCCCCCAATACCAACCCCTGTGGAACTGCATTATAAATCTTTCTTTAACCCGAAAACTAGTCATTAACTATGATTATTTTCTGATTTAATTGATGACGTTCAAGCAAGTGAGGGATTTAGTTTGCACAGGCGTGTAGTTAGAAAATAATACCGATAACAAATGGATGAAGAGAGATGTGAATCAATATAAACCACAGTTTTAAATCTTGTCACGTACCCACACTGTTCTAATTGGGGTGTGAAAAGAGGAATTGAAGTCATTCCCAGCAACATTCAGAGCTGGGATCAACTCCTATGCAGCAGGAAGACAAAAGCAGGATTCAGTTCCTACTCCCATTTTCAGCTTTTAATTTTCTCCAAAATATTTCTCGGACGTCGCCGCGTCAGAATTGACAGAACCCAAGTAGAGAGGAAAAACAAACTCTCTTCGCTTCCCACGTAACTTCCTTCCTTACAGTAGCTCAAACCCATGGCACTTCGCAGTTTCTGCCGGTTTCGGGCTGAAATATAAATTATTCCCCCGGCAGAGCGTCTGTACTGATGTCTCAAACGCTCCGAGAACAACACTCTTCCTGCTTCAGGTCTGGAACTGAAATAGTTTTTAGAACATTCGGAAACACTGAAAGATGCAGCTCCTGTTGAAGCTGCTTTTCATTTTGCAAACAGCAGTTCAAGGTAAGATGCTCTGCTCAGAACACTGGTACATTCATTCATGCTGGCGTTGTAGGCATTCGATTACCCCTTTAAAGGTTTTTCAGCTTTTCTATATGGTATGGAACTGCAGAGAAAGCAAGTGAGACACAATCATGTCATTTGGACAATTCGATTGAGATCACTGTTCAAAGGCCCACATCACGGTAGTTGGGTTAAGCCTCCTGTGTAAAAGTTACATTCCAGTTCAGACGATACTTTGTATATTGATTGTGAACCCTAACGCTGATGGGATTCAGAATATTTAAAGGATTTTTTTTAGATTTCAATTACAAGTGGGTCTGTCTTTGCACATGGTTCAACCTGATAGCAGCCACTTTCAGAGAACTGGAAATAAAGATCTCCAATGGATTTTGATGGTAACATCCTATTCATACGGTTTAATAAAAAGAAACAAATTCAAAACACGAAAAAAAATTACTGCAGAAAACCTGGAAACAAACTGTTGCATAGCTTAGAATTAAATCCGAGAGGTATTTTTAATGATGTCTTTGACATGTGATCCAACACAAAGGGCATTTCAAATTCACTGTTGTTTAAATTAAGTTTTCAAAGTTTCCTATTTTTTTAGAAAGAAATTTTAACTGAAGGCCGCTGAAAATGAATTTCTTTATTCCATCAGGTGTTCCGTCCATTGGTGAGGTGACTCAGCCACGTCTGATCACTGCCTTGAGAGGAGAGTTAGTGTCAATTAACTGTACATTTATAATTTACAATGGAATTGATGCTGACTGGGTCCATGCTAATTGGAAGAGGGATCCACCATCGGGGAATATTACCGCCTATGAGATGAAAAAACTGACCTGTGTTCCTAATGTTCCTCTGGGTGGTCTCAAACTTTGTGCCATACCGCTGAAGATTGAAAATGCTTCTTTTCATCATTCTGCTTATAAATATATCTGTGTGGTGAAAGTACCGAATATCTACCCTCCATTAGAGAGAAAAGGACAAGGAACACAGATACAAATTTACGGTAAAGTATTTACATTTTAAGTAATAAGTAGAAAGACATTTGATTGTACTGGGTGAAAGCACTGAGTCTGTATTCATGATGGGTACAGTAACATTAACACCAAACCATTTCTGAAATAATTCATTGTTGGAAAGCACATTCAATATCAGACCAGATTATTCAAACAAACTATTGCTAGCTAGAAGAATGCGGGAAGCAATTCATTGTGTGTCTGTAATATTGTTTCCTGAACCAGGTTTACGATAACTTGCCACTGTGGAACCAATGGGGAGATATAGGCCATCACTTAAATGAATTTTGCATATCTGCCACTTTCATTGTCTATTCTATTCATACCACAAGACATCAGCTCCTTTAATTTTATAGAATTTATTTAAGTATTATACCTGTTTATCTTACATACATGCTCATGTAACTTTTGAAGACTTTATCTGTTGCTTTGCAATTCAATTTAAAATTGAATACACCTAAAGTTGATCCAATATTTCAATATATGACCAATTATATGGAATCAATAATGCAACTTTTTATACAGCCAGAAAATGTTGAAAATGAATAGCTGGTTCTTCGATTTCTGTAAGAAGAGCTAGATTAATGTTTTGTTTCAAACCCTTCATCGAAACCAAATTATATATCAACCGACTACAATTAAATTGGACAAAGTTGTGATAAAGTATAAGGAAATATCAGACAGGGATTTCAGAAAGTAAATGTGAGAATTTCTATGTAAAGAATGCAGCTTCAAGCTAAAAGAGTCACTGCAGGAATCACACCCTGTTTTCAGTACTTAATGGTATTGTGTAAGACTGATCCAGACATAGGACAACGATCTACTAATGAATAATAATAATAAAGCATGCAGCACTCTGTCTCGTCGTGTCACATATGAGATGAGAAACCCGGTTTGCAGAGAAACAATACATTTGCAGTATAGCTTTGTTGATTCTATTCACAATTATTTAGGAATCTCAAAACTTATTTGGGATTATTATTTTCTTCTGAGTTTCACATCTTGCCGTGCACTATTTGTGTTATTTGTCACTTTTCTGTTAGTTGTTAATTGACACTCCAGAAAAAAAGATTTTGCTAATTACATTGTCCACATCTGTTGCACAAAAAAAAATCTCGTATTCCATTAATCTACCAACTATGTGCTCATTGACCAACAGTGCTTCCCAATTCATCAATGTCAAGAATCCTAAACGTTCATTCCTTTTTTCAAATCCTTCATTGACCTGAGTCCTCTCTATCTCTGTGATTTTCTCTATCCCAACAACACTCAGAGATTCTTTCAATTCACTCATTCATCCTGAGTTGCTTTGTCTCACCATTGGCAGCTGTGTTTTCAATTGCCTAAGATCTACATTTTGGAAATTCCTCCCCAAACCTCTCATTTCTCCATTTCTTCTCTATTACAACTCTTTTAATACAATCCCCTTTGCTGAAGCTAACGATCACCTATTCATATAGCTCTGTGCCTCAGTGTCAAATATGTCCATCGTTATTCTGTGAGAAACGTGGGAGGCTTTGCTTCAATGAAGATGCTTTATTCGTGCAATTGGAAAAAATGTAAAAACACCAATTAAAATCAATCAGTGAAAATTGCTAGAAAGGAACCTGCAATATTTGACTCATAATTGTGCAATGTGTACAAAAAAGAACACAAACTCATACACCACTGACTGAATTTTAAGTCAGGACTCCAATGTCACATACGTTTTTGTGTCCTGACCCTCTGTTGCATCGGTGCCTGATACGCGACATGTTTTTTGATCTGCGGACCAATTAGTGGCTAAGATATCTTCTGAAGGCATAGCAACAATTTAAAAATAGAAAGAAATTCCAGCTAACAGACTGTCATTGTGGAGTGAGAACTGCAAAGAGGGGCAGTGGGTGTTTAAAATGAGATGGAAGTGTGGCTCCTTGATCGGCATCAGGATGCTGCCTGAGCTAGTATTCAGTCACAACAGTGACCCAACTACCAACATGGAAATTGTTCGGATTCCTTGCTGTGATTAACACCAAGTCAACGAAACATACTTCCAAAATTGCCGATTGCATATTTCTGTCACTTTTTGTTACATTACTTCAAGGAAATTGTTCTTGATAGAGCAGTTAAGGAGTTTAATTGATTATCTGCAGGCAAGTAGCAGTCATTCCACTGAAACAGCATGTTTTAAAATACTTTTGATGAAACAGAACATGCCAACAAACGAGTATACTTACTATCAAGAGAAACTTTGAGCTTATCAATCTTTGGTTGCACTGCCTTTATGTTTAACGTTTTGGCTCAATTTGTTTCTGAAATTGATCTTGCCATATTTTAACTGTCAGTTACACACTAGTCAATAAATTCTCTCCAGAGGTAACATACAAGATACCAAACAATTCTACTGATAAGTAGTAAACATATTAAATGTATTGGTTAACAAAAATCTTATGAATAGGAAGTGAATGCTACTTAATTTGCAGTCATTTAATCAAAGTTGAATTCTACTAAAGGACAGGATTTTTCAAAACTAAGTGACCTTGACAGGGCCTTACATATAGCATGTAATACAAAGGAAAATTGCAAATTACACATGACTTCTGTCCAATGATATTGAGTGGAAGCCTGCAGCTGTGTTCATGAAGATTTCCAATAAGCTTCGGTTGTCTTCAGCTCTAACTTCTCCAAGTGGCCTTGAACATTCCTGTATGTGTGCCTGTTGTTGATGTCACTAGAGTAGAACTACAGTATATAGCCCCAGGGGAATTGGGCTCAAAATAAAGTGCTCCCAGACAAACATGAAGTAATGTAACAAAAGGTGACAGAAATATACAATCAGCAAATTTGGAAGTAGGTTACATTGACTAGGTGTTAATCACAGCAAGGAATCCGAAAATATAATGATCAACACACACTCATTTAGAACCAGCTTCTGCTGCAATTAATACACCATCAACTTGTCTTACTGTTGCATTACAGTTACCTTGTAAGTAAAGTAGAGGATAGGAGTGTGGTACATGAGTCATTCTAATTAGACAATTTCAATCGAAAAGTTGCAGCAAAAGATCCTGACACAACAGCAAGCTAAAATGACATTAGTGTAATTCGCTAACTTACATTTTGATTTTTGATTCCTTTAATCTAGATGAAAACTTACTTAACTACAGATGTGACACAATTTTACCAAAATGACAAATTGTATTTCTTTTCTTCTCTCTCTCAGAACTGTCTGAAATTTCCATTATGAATGGTAGTTTGGTTGCTGGACAAAAGTCTGTCCTGACCTGCTCTGTCCAGGGATTGTACTCTGAGAACATCTCCTTTATCTGGACCTGTAATGGAACAAACATGATGACAAACATCACTGTATCAACCTTGGAAGGAATTGTTAATGGTAAAACTGTTGTCACCAGCCAATTTCAGATCATCCCTCGAGTGACAGATCATGGAACTGTCTGTATGTGTCAGATAAATCATGTCATTTTCAAACAGCCAGTAACAAAAAAGATCAAACTAGATGTTATGTGTGAGTATGATCTTTAGCACTTTACCCATTGCATAAAATGTAATGATAAAGATATTTACTTTAAATTTGGTCTTTTTCTTATTGTCTCCTCAGTAGTCTCTGCTTACAACCAGGGAGTGTCTGTGCCATGTTCCTGTTTGTGAACTGCCCCTGTGTCCTTTTGTATCTGTCCCTTGATACTGTTTTGCCTTGTACTGAAGTCTTTCTGCCTGAATATACTTTCCATCACCTGACCCATCCAAAATGCCCAATTGACAGCATTGGGCTTATCACCAACTCTCAGTTATGTCTGTCCACTCACATTTTTGGCATATTTTGCCCTTTATCTTGTTCTATCCCTCTTAACTGTCCTGTAAAAGCTCTATGCTCTACCACCTTTAAAGCCTCCACTTATTTCATAGAAACATAGAAAACGGGAACAAGAGTAGACCATGAGTTCGCTCTGTCATTCAAGAATCCCTTCAATAGCTTTTTGCACTGAGCAGCTTCTCATCTTTGATGATTTTGCTCTTTATCTCAGTAACCCATTCTTGACCTTTCTTCTCTAAGTTCACTGCCCGCTTGTTGACTGTTGGCCTCTCAATCTCTATATACTCTGCAATCCATATTCACAGTTGCCAGTCCAACTTTCCCAACTTATGCAACCTCCCAATTTCCTTATTCCAATCACAAACAATGTAATCTCATATTACTTGGTTGTATCCCACACTATGTACATGCTTCTTCCAAGCTCATAACCCAGTCCTTCTGTGCCCACTTATGGAGAAAACATTCACTTTAGTCATTGTAATGGCAGTTCCAAACTCCGCATTGTCCAACCTTTTTTCCTTACATTTCTTATCTACTTATGTAGCCAAAAATCTGATCAGTCATTCCTTCAACTATGCCTTTGATGGTTCTCTTCTTAGTACTCTTTCCCACTTTAGTGGTTTCCCCACCACAGTGAGCACCTTCACGTTTTAAATCCAAAAGGCACAGGTATAAACATTTATGATGCATAATTCATTCAGCTATGCATTGTCAAATCTGATGTCATCACCATTTCTCAAAAATCTAAACATGTCTTCAATTTCCCTTTCTTCTCCAAAGCCTTCCCATAACCATGTCCATCTTTCATATTGCTCTTTATTTGAACTTTTTCAATTGGGTTCCAATGCCACAGCATAGAAATAAGCCAAAGCAAAGTCATTTGTAATTATGACTCAGGTGTACTCCTGCACTTTAACCTTCTCAACCTTTGTGCAGCATGTGACAGCAGTCAACCACACTAGGCTCCTCAAATATCTTTCCTCTATTAGCCAAATAAGTGTAATTGCCCTCATTTACGCTCACTCATATCTGTGCGACACCATTACCTCTGGTATCCTTATGGATCTCTCTTTGACCTTCTCCCACCTCTCACCTACATTGCTGAGATTATCCTGTGAAACAATGCTAATTTCATATGCATGCTAACAATATCCAACTTTGCATTGCCATCGCTCACCTGACTCCTCCATGTCTGTTTTTTGGTAGACGACATATTTGAGCTTGAGTTCTGGAAGACCTACAATGACCTCTAATTAAACATTTGAAAGACTGATGCCATTGCATTTGGCTCCCAACAAAAGCTTCATTGCCCGCTAAATTCCATCCATCTTCCCTGATCATTGCCTCAGGGTGAAACAGACATTTTGCATCATTTTATTCCAGTTTATGCTGAGATCAGCTTCCAGTCTTGTATCTTTTTCATCAGAATAACCTCTTACTGACAAGCTGGCAATATTGTCCGTCTTCGCTATATGTATCCTAACCACACCAAGTTCCACTCTCTTTGATGTCACTGTGTACTGACTTGCATTGGTTTCTAGTCCGCCAATCTCTTGATTTTAAAATTCTCATCCTTGCATTCTGCTGACTCCATAGCCTTGTTCCAGCCCATCTTTGCAATCTCCTACAGCTCTACAACCCTCTAATGTTGACCTCTCCAATCCATAATTGATTCAAAATATGCTAGATCATGGAATGATGCAATGTAGAAGAGGCCCTCTGGCCCATAAAGTCTGCACTAACAAAAAAAATCTATATTTAATCTAAACTAGTCCCACTTTCCAACACTAGATCCATAGCCTTGAATCTTTGAAATTTCAAATGCTCATCCAAGTACTTTTTCAAAGTCCTTTACAAGATTACCCACCTCGACTGCTGTCCCAGGCAGTGCATTCCAGGCTCCCACCACCTTCTGGTGAAAACAAAAATTCTTCAAAACCACTTTAAACTCCTATGTACAGCTTTGAAAGTGTGCCCCCTTGTTACTGAAATTCTAACTGAGGAGAACAGCTGCTTTCTATCTACCCTGTCAATTCTCCTCAGAATCTCATACACCTTATAAATCATGTAGATGTTAAAATACGAAATTCCCTCCATATATATCCCCATCTGTCTCTCTCTCTCCCCCCACTCTCTCTCTTTTAAGACAATCCTGACAGCCTTCTTCTTTGAACAAGATTGTAGCTACTGTTCCTTATACTTTCTTCCTTAGCTCAGTGTTAATGTTTGTCTGACTGGACGTCTGTGAAGCAATTTGAAACGTTTTTCTTTTATAAATGTGTTATGTGTTACGTAGATGTAATTCATAGATGTTATGTATATTAATTGGCCAGCATGTATCTGTGTGTGTGAGAGTTATTGTTTATACAAAAAACTGTTGGCATTTTCTTTATGTGTAGATGGGCCACGAGATCCAACAATAACATACAAGTTGAAAAACAATGACAGTTACCATCTCGGGACCAATAGCATCACTGTCCCCAAAAGTTCATTTGTGGAACTGAGATGCTCTGTGGATAGTAATCCAGTTGCCACGGTAACATGGTTGAAGAATTGGACAAACCACACTTCAACTGGATCAAGCAGTTCAACGTTAACGATGACACACTTCCAATCTCAAGATGCAGGAGTCTACTGGTGTGTAGCAAATAACAGCTATGGCTGGACAAATGGTAGTGTTTCGTTGGTGGCTTTTCAGGGAGGTAAGGATCGATGTACTAATGCATGTGTAAAGCTCTTGATGCTTGTTACAGAAGAATTATTTTAGGAAATAGGAACACAGATTAATTATATTTAGCATCTTCTTTATTTGTTTCAGAATTTGTAAAATTGAAATATTCAACTACTTAAAGCTATAGTAAATAAGCCTATTTCTGATGTTTAATCACTTACAAATTAAGCTGTCCTTCTGCTTTTCTGCAGTGCTTTGTAATGTAGTGCAAAGAAAATAGAAAACTAATGTAGTGCAGTTTTATCTATTAACTGCAGTGTATGTTAGGCACAAAAGTTGTAATGATTTCTGAAGAAAATGATAATATTTTTGTCAAGCAAAAATTTGAAGTTTGCAATCACATAACATTTGCAGAAATATTTCCAAGCATTTCAAATATTATACATTCTATTTACATTTTGCATCTGTTGCCATTCATCATTACTTCAAGATTAATTATTATTTCTTTCACAGATCATTGGTTGCTTTACATTGTATCTTCACTCGTTGGTGTTATTGGATTTATCAGTGTGGTAGCAATATACTTTTGTCTGATCTGGAAGAGACAATTGAAAGGTAAACTTAAAGTAAGTCTTTGGTTATAGGTGTTAACCTTTACATTGAGATCAATAGCGAGCTGTAAAACAATGTGGTTTTCACTAGCCAGTGTGACAATAGTCCTTCATCGTCATGTGTTTGTAAGTGTTCTTACTCCTGAGCTTATTTTGCATGTTCCATTCTTTCACTGCCTTATGTATTCTTTTCAAATCAGGCTAAGCTCTGTGGATCTTTTTACAAACATTTCAGCCAAACGTACATTTGTGGTTCGGGAGAGCCCCAGCTCTGAATCTAACCTTTAAATTGGCTGCCATGCATTTCTGATTTTTGCTTTGGGGACAGGGGCTGGATTGGGAATTAGGCTGCGTGACCCAGGAAGAGTTTAAGAGTTTGCAAGTTCTTGAGTTGGACTGTGCAGAAAGCCTGCACCAGCACTCTACTGTTGTCAACATTTAAAAATTGTGTTTAAAACGTAAAATATCCCTTATGCTTACCACTGCCCACTCCCATCATCCCACACACTCTATACCCCACCCATGCCATCTATTGCAACCTAATGCCTTTTACCAATATTCGATGTCCTCTCTTCCCGTATACCAAGTTCATGTTTACTTCCACCCACCACTTTTTCCCTCTTTTACAATCATATCAACTCATTAAGCATCCTCAGTACCCATGCCCAAAAGAAAAAATATAACACTATTACTTAAAGTTCCATGTCAAAGACTGCACTGTAGTTACAAAAGCACTCACATTAATAAAAACATATTTTAACACTCCTTGACAGGTTAATGCTCATCGAACTCTTAGTGACTTCTTGAAACTTGTTGACATTCCTGGGACTTTTTGACAGATTGACTCTTTTTGACAGGTTGGCACTTCTAAATGCCTGCTGACAGTTCTAGACATTTCTTGACATCTCTTAGCAATTCCGAGTCTTTACGAACCTTTTATGCACACCGTCCTACCCTGTTGATAGTTCCAAAGCACAACTGACAACTCCCCCCATGACCAAAGGATCCCTGACTCCACACCTAAAGTGTCGACAGTCCATAACCATAAGGTGTATTTCAATTCTCCAAAGGGGGATCTTGGCTATCTAAAGGAAATGCACTGAGAACAGACCTACTCTTACATGGTCAGTCTCTATACTTTGGGTCCGACATTTCGCTGACGCTAAAAGCCTATTTCAGTGTAGGCAGCTGGTTATTTAAATGCCCAGCTGCTTCCAGAATCTGCATAAGCGTGATGACTGAACTGAGCCCATTATGCCACCTGGAGAGATGGAAAGTATCAGATTTGGGTTCAGCACTTGTGATGTCAGGCTACTTCTATCATTTTCACCACATCAGAAATGCTCGCCAGTGTGCCGAAAACCTAGTCCTCTGAATTTCATCGCTTGTGTTATGGCTTTTGAAACCTGAGTGATCATTTGCTAAACCAGAAAATTAGGTAATAAATAAAACCAGAAATACCACATGATTTTTTGCAAATACTACATAAGCAACATTTTCTATTACTTACCAATTGTTTTGCAGTTATGGTTGGACTCTGGTGCAAGAGGTGAATCTGACCATACTCCAATTTCCTTTTATTTCAGTAACTTTCAAAATTGATTCATGGGATAAGAGCGTTGCTGGCTGGGTCAGCATTTATTACCTTGCCCTAGCTGCCCTTGAGAAAATGATAGCAACTGCCTTCTTGTACCACTGCAGTTCATTCGATGTAGGTAGATCCACAATGCCGTTTTGGAGGGAGTTCCAGGATTTTGACCCAGCAACACAGCAATATATTTCTAAGTGAATTGGATTGAATTGAATTAGCTTTATCGTCACATGTGTTCAAATGAGTACAGTGAAAAGTTTACAGTCGTTGCATTACAGCACAAGCCCAGGGACAAAGTTACCTAGTACAAATACTTAAGATCAAATTCTTAGGAAACAAAACAAAACAAACAAAAAGAAATCCAGCATTATAAGTCATAGGAATAAAGTAGAAAAATAAAGAAGTAAGGATTGTGAGTGGCTTGAAGGGGAATCTGCAGGTGCTGGTTGTTTTCCCCTGTATTTGCTGCCCTTGTATTTCTATATGGTAGTGGCCTTGAGTCTAGAAGATGGTGAATTCTGCTATTCATATTGAGGTAGATGGTACACAGTGCTGCTACTGAGCATCATGGTGAAGGAGGTGGATGTTTCTATGTGGTACTGATCAAGAGGGCTGCTTTGTCCTGGATCACATCAAGCTTCTTGTGTGAGAGAGCTGCACTCATTCCAGGCAAGTACCCCATCATACTCCTGACTTGTGCTTTGTAAATAGTGTACAGGCTTTAGGGAGTCAGGAGGTGATTTACTCGCTGCAGGATTCCTAGCCTCTGACCTGCTCTTGTATCCGCAGTACTTACGTGGTTAATCCAGTTCAGTTCCAGAACAATGGTAACCACCAGGATGTTGATATTTTATATTCTCTAATATTCAACCAGAAGTGTTACTACATGGAAACTGAACATGAAAGAAACATAGGGACACAACGGCTCACATGTCAGTATGCAGAGGGAATCTGCAAAAGTTGCATTAAAGGCTTTGACAATATTGTAAAGACATCGATCAAGACAATTGTGTAGGATGACTGGAAGGTGAAAAAAATCCATGCCCTTTGTGAATGTGAAATTAAAGCTGTAATTAATATTACACATATTTCAGTTGTTGATAAATAACTAGAAGCAAAACATGGGATCAAATTACACGCAGGAGTTAACCAGGGCCCGTTGACACAGATTTCTAAAGGATGGTCAAATAAAAACAAAATATTTCATATGCTGGAATATTGAGATAAACAACATCTGAACAGGTCTAGCAGCATCTGCAGAGAGAAAAACAGAGTTAATGTTTCGATTTCAAAGACTTTTCTTTGGAATCTTAAGAAGTGTCTTCGGATGTGAAACATTAACTCTTTCTCCACAAATGCTTCCAGACTTGCTGAGTATCAAAGCAATTTCTGCTCTTATACCTAAAGGACAGTGCATTGCAGTGCAATTAAAGTTGAAATTACTGTCGTGCAGCTGGAATCTTTTATTGTTGTACATCAGAAATTATTTAACTTCACATTTTGTGTGATTATTCTTTTTTATTTGTTATCAATTTTCCTGTCTTGTTCAAGACCCCAATACACTGTCCTACATACACTTCCTGTTCTCAGTATTGATAGTGTATCAAAATCAGAACTTACCACTTCAAAACCTCAGAAGTGTGGAATGTCTTACCTCCCTCTGCACTTCTTTTCTCCTACAATTTACAGACTTTTGTAACCAAAGTGTGATGTCATCTGACCACCATTTCTTGATATTTCTCATTCTCTTTTCAGACCTTTGCAAAATTTAAGTCATGACTTTCTGAAAATAAAATATGTCCAAAATGACACTGTTGCACCTATGAAACCTCAACTTAATTGGTAGTTAAACAGTTAGCACATTTGTACAGTATTCCTTCATGAACCACTTTAATGAGCACATTAACCTTTTGTACATCAAATGGTATAATGCCAACATGAAAGCAGAAGACAGAAATGTCAGACTAATGCATTGAGCATTGGTCTGCAAACATCAGTATCTCGACTAAGTGATTGACAGATGGAAAGCATTGCCACTAATAGGGGGACAAAAGACTATGTTAATTATGTGATAAAAAGGTTATTAAATATATTCTATTATGTTTTTGGAATTTGGATTTTAAAATGGAGGCAAGTTGATTGTCTTTCTTATAAAGGTCAGAAAGTCGAATTGGAGCTGTGATATAAATACATCAGTTCCAAGAAAGAACGTGATTGCATTGGAGTTATAATCCCTATAGTTGTTAATGGATAATTTCTTACATTGCTGGATTTATAACTTGTAAAGTAAGAACATTAAGACAATTAGTTTAGTTTTGTCTTCAGAACTGAAGGTTGCAAGTTTAGTTCAGAAGAACTTAGAATTCAGTTTAGAAGAGAACAGTTTTTTTTTCCTAGAAGGAGAACAGCTTTTCAGTTCATTTGAAGAAAACCAGTTACCTCAGCAGAAGTGGTTCTTAGTCTATGGAACTTTGAAGTTGTGGAAGTTGGATAGAGATCTGCTACGTGTTAGAAATGAAATAGTGAGAAGTTTATGTGAGGAGATTTGGAAAGGAATCATTAAAAGAAAGGACTTACCAGTTCAAGAGAAAGAAATTAAAAAGAATCAGCTGTTTAAAATGTAAAATGTTAAGGAAAGAGTGATATTTATCTGGTATTAAGGCTCTGTTACAAATGTCATTGTAAACAGGTTGAAACTTTGTTGTTTGTGTTATGATCTTTCTCTCAGAGAGTCATAGAGATGTACAGCATGGAAACAGACCCTTCAATCCAACTCATCCATGCTGACCAGGTGTTCTAAATTAATCTAGTCTCACTTGCCAGCATTTGGCCCATATCCTTCCAAACCCTTACTATTCATATATCCATTCAGATGCCTTTTACACGTTGCAATTGTACCATGTCCTCGATTGCTCATTCTACACATGCACCACCCCCTGCATGAAAAAAACTGTCCCTTCAGTCCCTTTTAAATCTTTCCCCCTCTCATCTTAAATCTATACCCTCTAGTTTTGGACTCCCACAGCCTTGGGAAAAGACCTTGGCTATTCACCATATCCATGCCCCTCATAATTTCATAAACTTCTATAAGGTCACCCCTCAGTCTTTGATGCTCCAGGGAAAATGGAGGCAGTCTATTCTGCCTCTCCCTATAGCTCAAACCCTCCAACCCTAGCAACATCCTTGTCAATCTTTTCTGAACCCTTTCAAGTTTCACAACATCTTTCCTATGAGAGGGATACCAGAATTGAATGCAGTATTCCAAAAGTGGCCTAACCAATGTCCTGTAACACCTGCAACCTGACCTCTCAACTCCTATACTCTGTGCACTGACCAGTGAAAGCAAGCATACCAAACATCTTCTTCACTACCCTGTCTGCCTGTGACTCCACTTTCAAGGAACTATGAACCTG